GACCCCTGAGACGATTTTACAATTTTACACATAATTATATGATGTTATCACGTTGCGAAACTGTAGGTCCTATTCTCCCACGATGCAGGTCTCAAAAGAATTGTTAAAGAGGAGAGAAAAGAATGCACCACCACGTTCTCTTACCGCGGTAATGGAATGATATTGTTGGTCTTACGTTCGGTGAAACCTTCGTTGAATCGTAGCTGGAAAAATTGTAGCCTAATATAACGAGCGCAGAAATGTGTCACTATGATGTGAAATATTTTTTCCGTTAAAACATCTCTACCTACATAACTTTGTCTTCGTTTGTAAACCGAACGTATGAAAGAACATGTATTTCCGTAACAGCATCAGCTTGTAAATATTTTATCGGAAAGAAATATTTTTAGAGTCAAACACAGTGGGTGTATAACAGGTATCAACGAAGAAAACATTTGTGAGACGACGAGGGTTCGCTTGAAAGTGCACATTTCTGGGCTAAATGTGTCGCGAGTTTCATCACAAGTGAATTAACCGATCTCCATGACTTGACCCGATCTTGTTTCAAAGACAGCACGTGCCTTGGAACAAGTAAGCACTGAAACCCTATAGGCGGAAATTTCAGTTTTTAAATTTGTTTCTTATAATGTACAAGAACGAGTCGTGAACGGTTACGGAGATACAGCTTTTTTTTTTAAATACATCAGACGGTGCACGATAATATCGATTCTAAACAAGATTGTAAAGCGGAGATCCGAAGGGAAGTCTGTAATTAATGCCCGATTGTTCGTGTTTTAAATAATATTATTCAACGATTCAGCAATTACTTTTCTTTTTCCATTGTCTGCCTACGAAGAACGAATATGTTAAAGCAGTCCTGACCATGGTCACTATATGGGTAAATAAAATAACTTCTCCCTCCTTAACTTCGTTATCATAGTACCATGAACGATATAGTTGTTGGAATATATTCGTAAAGGGAGCTTGTAAAATGTTTCAACCATGCATAGGATCGATTTAATAAAAAAAGAAAACAATTTTTCTGGAGTCTATCTAAACACTGTTGGACATTAATTACAGATACTATAGGACGCTGATACAATTCCGGACCTAACCATGATCAGGATAGGGAAAACGATCGATACAAATATATAGATATATTATAATATAATAGAGTTATTTGATGAAACATTTAAAGCCTTACATAAAATATACAGTATGATGTGTATCGTCGCGCACGTATATATGATAAAATTGTGTGTCAGTGTGTGTTTGCGTATCTGGTCGCGTGAATATCATTTCCTCGTATAGAGAACAATATATATTTGTGTCGCATGTCGAACGTAAACAGCATTTGTATATTATTACCCATTATATGTGTTCAAAAGACGTCTCAAAATATGCAGCCACGTTTTCACGATTCTTTTCTTTTTTTTTCTTTTTTTTTAATCCACGAGCTATTATTTTTTATTTCTACTTTTTTGCCCTTTTGTCGCTTCTCGCTAATAGAGAAAGATTGATACATATTTCTCGTGATTGAGATATACAGTACTCGGTGTACTCTTGGACTGAGAGACTCGATACGGCAGTAGTAATAGTAGTAATAGTAGTAGTAGTAGTA